GGCTGCAAAGCTGCCCAAAGCCTCTGCGGCACCAGTTCCATCCCCGGCTGCTCCCCGGCCACAGGAGGAGGGCCCCACATGGCGCGCAGACCTCTCCTGCCGCCCGCTGCTCCCCTCAGCAGTGTACTTCAGTCCTTCTGCCTGCTCTGCTCCCCGCTCTGGCTCTGGTGAATTCTCCCGTGCTTCTGACTGTACCAAGTGCTTGTATAAATAAATAAATAAATCTTTAAATAAACAAATCTTTAAAAAAAAAAAGGTAAAAAATCCAAAGTCCCATGACTAACCACTAACTCTAAAGTTAAGAAACAGGAATTTGTGGGTTATTTTTGTAATGAGCTCAGTGGACAAACTCTTAGGCAATCCTAATCATGCCCTCACACTTAAGATCAAATAACATACTATACTAAATAAATTACTCCTTCACCCATTGTCATATTTATGAAATTAAGGCTATTAAAATATGTGAAGACTAAAAGGATTTTTAAGGTCAAAGTTAATCATGTTATCACCTAGCTAGAAACATATGAGCAAGATAAAACACTTTAATTTAGCTGGACAATACTTGAAAACATATGACAGCAATCTGATTGCAAATACATAAAAATGCACTTATAGCTGTGATTGAAAGAAATTAATACCAACTTTTGTGACTATAAATTTAAACTAAAGAGTGATGTTTAGAACTAAGAGTGAAGCAATATAGTAAAACAGGACAAGGCATTATTAGCTAAAATGAAACTAGCAATATAGAAATTATTTTAAATGAATAATATTGCTCTATTAACATAATGCATTCATATCAAAATATACTTATTAATTTAATACAATTAAATTAATGTTATTTAAATATTAATTCTAAACTTTATGCTATTGATTTTATAATTTCATTACATTAAATAATTTGATAATCTGATTATTTGATAAATAAATAAATAAAATTTGATAATTTTATCATCAAAAATTAGATACCTCCTTTTTTTCCTATCATTGTAAGTGCAAAGATCAACAAAGGAGATTACACTTGGAACTCTTTAACAACTAAGCCCTCTGTAAGCTTTTGTTAGCTCAAGAATCAACTCTCAAGTATCCTCATGACTACAGGTCACCTATAAATTTATTCTAAATAGTTATGAAAATTTAGTTAGTGGACACTGCACTTTAGAATTCCTTCTCTCTATTCTTACATTTCTCTTGACAGCTTTTCTATTAATGTTTTACTGTCCTGAGTAGCAGGTAGCCAGCCTCAGGTGAACAGTCAAAAGAACATAAACCACAATTCCAAGAAGTATACAGTGCTCTGGAAACTCTCAGGTGGAAGTAAGAGAGGGAAGTAATTCCATTATCAGTCTTTCCCTATTTGCTTTGGTTGGGACATCAATTGCACATGAAGTATCAGCAGCAACTACAACAGCATAAAACAAAACACTTTAATGTTTTAAAACAAAATCAACTAATATAAATGGTGAGGCTAAAAAAATCCCATTACATGTACAATAGCCCATTTATTTCAATTAGTAAATGGTCAAAATGCACTCCTCTTTACAGTCAGGAAAACTGGACTTCTACAGTAGAGCATTACAAAGCAAAAATAGTTTTTAAGGGCCTCCCTGGTGGGGCAAGGGGTTAAGCACCACACTATGAAGCTATCCACAGCCTCTGCAGCACGAGTTCGATGCCCGGCCGGCCAGGGAGAAACCCACATGACGCAGCAGACCTCTCCTGTCTCGCCCGAAGCTCCCCTCAGCAGTGTATTTCAGTCAGTCTGCCTGTTCTGTTCCCCACTCTGTCTCTGGTGGATCCTCTCACCCCCCCACCCCTGCATCTCTGGCTTGTACCCCAGCTCTTGTATGCACAAATAAATAAATCTTTTAAAAAATAGTTTTTATAAAATTTAAATCTTGTGCCATAGCTGTATATTTCTAAACATGGACAGAAATCATGGGACAAAGAGCAAAGTATTAGCTCAAAATGGGGATATTTTATCCTCATTTCCTTCAGGAAAAAAAAGTTATCTTGGAAAAACTAATGTAATCTTAAGCTACTAGTATCCCACACATTTGAGTTCATGAAGATGAGGAAATCACCTTCAATTTGCCAACAATGCTGGAGAAACTAGGAACATATTTATGAAACCAGAAACATCCTGCCCTCTCACTTTAATGAAACACATTCTAAAGGTATTGTGATACTTTTTCCTGCCATATTATCTCAGCAAGTAAGTAAGGAAGACTTATCACATTAAATAAACCTGAATACTGAGATTTGTAACTGAAAAACATGACTGCTGGGATGGTAGGTTGAACTGAAATGGGCCCATTGCCTATCTCTCCCACCCCCGTCTTGATGTATGACCTAAACTTCTGTAAAATCTTTAAACACTGTATTGCCCTTTAACAATGCTGAGTAGAGGGGATTTTGAGACAAAACTCCATAATATTATTCTCATTTATGCCCGTGTCTATACCACCTCAGACAAATCTCTCCTCACAGTTACTTTTCCAACTAGTAAATAATTATTTTCACTCATTGGGATGTCAAAAGTCTTTTTTTTAAAGATTTATTTTATTTATTTATGCATACGAGAACTGGAGTGTAGGCCAGAGGAAGGGGGGGTTGCGGGGGTGTGGAAAAGATTCACCAGAGACAGAGTGGGGAGCAGAACAGGCAGACTGACTGAAAAACACCGTTGAGGGGAGCAGCGGGCAAGTCAGGAGAGGTCCGCTGTGCAAAGTGGGCTGCTCCCTGGCCAGGGATCGAACTCATGCTGCAGTGGCTGAAGATAACTTGATAGCCTTGAAACTTTAACCCCTACACCACCAGGGAGGCCCCAGGATGTCAAAAGTCTTAAAAAAGTTTTTCAGGCCTCCCAGGTGGCACAGTGGTTGAGCGCTGGGTTGCCAAGCTGCCCGCAGCCTCTGCTGCGCTGGTTCCATCCCCGGCTGCTCCCCGGCCACCGGAGGAGGGTCCCACATGGCACGCAGACCTCTCCTGCACCCGCTGCTCCCCTCAGCAGTGTACTTCAGTCCTACTGCCTGCTCTGCTCCCCGCTCTGGCTCTGGTGAATTCTCTCACTCTCCCGCGCTTCTGACTGTACCCAGTGCTTGTATAAATAAGTAAAATAAAAACAAATAAGTTAAAAAAATTTTTTTTCAAGTGCTTTTAAGTATGTAGGAAAAGCATAGTGAGGAATTCATAAATTTATATTTAAAAAAATGTATTGCTTGGGAGCACTCACAGAAGTAAAGGTCATAGGGTGTTGCGGTTATTTTTGCTTGCTCTCTCGCTCTCAAGCAAATTTTACTGCTTCTGCATGCATTTTTTTCAAGGAAAAACAAAAGCTTCTGCATTAGAGACCAGAGATGTTAATCTATTCTTTGAAGGATCTGGTCTTTAACCCTACCTGGAGGCCAAGGATCAAGATCTTTCTAAGACTCTGATCAGAAAGGAAAGATTCTATCAGGTTAATAAGACAAGTAGAGAAATTAATTTGGAAGAAAAAAGGAAATGCAGACTTTCCCTGGGAAAAACATGAACAGTTTCTGGTTTAGATGATGCTGTTTATTCATTCCCAACAATTTAAAAAATAATCCCAAATTATATATGATACAACACTCAATAAGAATTAAAGCATAACAAATTTTAGTTTTTTGTCTTTTAAATTTGAGTTTACATCACAATTCAACCTCATACATTAACACTGTTTTCATCATATCATGTAATTTTTTTCCTACATATTGGCTTTTTTATTTGTTAAAGAGTAGCTGAATATGACTATAAGCTTCCAAGTTTGGTAAACTATAATTTTTTTCTTTTAACCAGTGAAAAATGTGGCTGTGTTAGTCATAGGGATGTTGAGGTAAAGTGTGTTGTTGAATGTCCTGCATCTTTCCAGCTCCGCAAGCCTTTACCGACATTATTTCATCTACCTGGGCCGCCTTTCCTTTCCTCCATTCCTGAAATGCTAAATTCTATCCATTGTTCAAGGTCCAACTTAAATGTTCACCTCCTTGTACCCTGAATAAGCTTTCTGGTTCTAATATACAACTTTAGTGAGACAGAAAGGGTGTATCTGTCTTTCCCGGTACACAGTAAAACCCTCCAGTACAACAAAAAACCATCTCCTATAATAGCTGTAGACTCCAGATAGTTTGAAAGATAAACAGAATCTCAGTTCAAAGTATTGTTTAGATAGGATGATATAAAACAGCCTAGTCAGTCAATCAGTGGGGTTGCTAGAACTCATTCTCTTCATAACCGAACTCAACCAACTTGACTGCAAACTCTTTTGAGGCCAGGGACTCTGTCCTATTTCTCGAGTAGGCCCCCTACCATCCTCCTCTCCTCAATATCACCTAATTCTATCTGCTCCATACATTCTTATACAAAGCTATACTACGGGTAGGTAAAGAAACTGTGATTAAAACAAAGATCAGGTGATGAAAAACAGAGATTTATGAAATGATAAGAGCTGTCAATGCTTAAAGAATAATCTCAAAGTCCACAGCACAAGTGGCAAAGATATAGATGCCACAGGATATGGCAAGGATGGAGGGTAACTTTACTGCGAAGGGTTCAGCGTGAATAAAATGAAATGGAAAGAAGAGTGTTCTGTCGGTTTAGTTTATGTTCCCAGAGGGCGACAATAAACAAAATATCTGTTTTGTTGTTGTTATATTTCATTAACAATGGTGATCAGTCCGTGTGACATCCAATACCAGGTACACACCTTCTTGTGCCTCCAATTAATTAGGTAACACAGGCCATGGAATATCTAGACAATTCCGCAGGAAAGCACAATAAAGTGACATGGGTCAAGACCTAACCTCTCCTCTACTATCCCCTGTTAGGGGAAGTAAAACAAGAGGGTGATAAATATCTAAGTTGCGAAGGAGTGAGAGTTTGCAGAGTGCCCGAAATTAAAATGACCTTCTCGCCGCACTCGGCAGTACCAGACACCCCTCCCGTAGAGAGGGACGACGGGAAGCCGATAGAGAACTCACCTCTCTTTTCGATTCTAGGGTTAGACCTCCGGAGCTACACAGCCCGTGGCAGTTCGACAAACCCACGCGCGCAGCTTCCAGCCTCACACTCCGGGAGAAGTCACAGCCCCGGCGGTGGCAGTGGCTGCGGCGGCAGTGGCAGCGGCGGCGGCGACGGCAACTCCTCCCTCTCCTGCTTCTCTTCCTCCACCCCCAGCCCCCGGCCCGACGCCTTGACCCCTCCCTCTTTCACTCCCCCCTACTTCCGGGCGGTGCCCCGGCCGGAAGTAAGAGCCTGTGAGGCTGTAAGGGACGCGTCGCATTGAGGGGAACGCGAAGGCTGCAATCCAGCTCTCTCGCCCCCTGCTGCCCCTGGGCTGACACGCAGCCTCGGGCGGAAGTCTTCCTTTTCGGAGCTGCAGAGAACCCCCTTCCTTCTCTCGCCGGAAAACAAAACCAAAGCCCATTAAAGCCTCTATTATATGTAGTTTCCTAACCTCGAGACCAGAATTACCATAGAGCTTTTTGTAAATCATCTTCCACAGAGTTCAGCTTTTTGCAACATAAAATTGACGTGCTTCTAATTAGATAATGTAGCCTAAATCTAAGCTATAAATGCCAAAACTATGAACTTGCCACTAACCCTCTATGGAAAAATTATCTCAAACAATATCTAATTCATAAATGATTGTTTCCAATTCATGCTTTTAAATTCATAATCTTTATGTGTTGGAGTAGGGCCAGGGATCTCACTCTCACACTACCTTCACATTGCCACTCCAAGTTAGGAGCTGCTTCCTCATTTATTTCATTTGCCCATCATCTTAAAAACCTAGAAGATTCCGGCCCTCCCTGGTGGCGCAAGGGGTTAAAGTCTCAGCACTTTAAGCTATCCCCAGCCACTACATCAAGAGTTCCAATCCCTGGGCCTCCCCGGTGGCGCAGCGGTTGAGCGCTGGGTTGCGAAGCTGCCCGCAGCCTCTGCAGCGCCGGTTCGATCCCCGGCTGCTCCCCGGCCACCGGAGGAGGGTCCCACATGGCGCGCAGACCTCTCCTGCCGCCCGCTGCTCCCCTCAGCAGTGTACTTCGGTCCTTCTGCCTGCTCTGCTCCCCGCTCTGGCTCTGGTGAATTCTCTCACCCTCCCGCGCTTCTGACTGTACCCAGTGCTTGTATAAATAAATAAAAATAAATCTTTAAAAAAAAAAAAAAGAGTTCCAATCCCTGCAAAGGAGCTAACCCACATGGCACAGCAGACCTCTCCTGACTCACCCGCTGCTCCCCTCAGCAGTGTATTTCAGTCAGTCTGCCTGTTCTGCTCCTCACTCTGACTCTGGTGAATCCTCTACCATCCCCCCACACCTCTGGCTGTGCAACCAAGCTTAGCCAAGGTTTCGCCATTTTGTATATCCTCCACCTTGATATGTTAGTCCTTGTCCAGCCGCATTCCGGAGATAGTTTCAGCAGTCACAACCCTCATTCCACTTGGTGACGAAAAAGCAGACCACCCCAGCCGCCAATGAGGGCAGTCCTATCCATAAATGGGACAGCATCTCTAATTGTCCAATCAGTTTGAAACTGTAACCGCGTGCGCGCCAAAATGCCTTTGTAGTAGCCAATGAGTAATTGCCAGCTTCTTTCAAAATTCGCGCCACTCGTGACCCTATAAGATACCCCTGCTTCCTCTGTTTGGGGCTCTTGACCTCTGCCGTTGCATCGGTGTGTGTCGCCGGCCGGACTTGAGCCCCTAATAAACTCCCATTTGCATTTACATCAGCTGTCTTTGGATTCTTGGAGGCTATGCTCCCCGAGTCTGCTGACCTTGGGCACAACACTGGCCTGTACCCCAGTTCTTGTCGGCATAAATAAATAAATCTTTCAAAAAAAAAAGCCTAGAAGATTCCAAGTATGCAAAAAATATTAAGTATCTACCGTCCAGAGTTTAGGTAGAAACAAGATGCTTAAAATGTAGCAATACATTGCAATAAATAAGTGGTACAGAAAGCATGTGAAAATAATGTATTTTTATTCCTGTTTTCCGATTTGACATACTAAAAAGCAACAAAAATAGGATTTTTACAACTGAATATTAATAGCAAGAGGGAGAAGCTCTCTCTCACAAATTTCCAAATGAGGTATAGATGTATCACATTTTCTCTCATTAAATACTTCATAAAATGAAAAAGAAAACTAATCACAGGATTATTTGTATTTCCAACTGGAATCATTTGAACCCAGATGCCATAAGAGTGTCAAATCTAACAATGTTTAAAACTCCTTACCTTCTGAGACATTAAGTTATAGTTATCAATGTACACAGCTTTATTGATAGAAATTCATGCCCCAATTTAAAATCTTTAAAAATCACATCACATGAAATTAAGATGGCTTTTAAGTGAATTTCCAATTATTAGCAAATTGGTCTATAACTGTAATATTAAAACTATGTTTTCAAAGAAATTCACAAAAAGGAAGAAACCAGAAAGTTTTATGAGAATGTCAGATTTACTCACTCTATAGTTTTTATAGCTAAGTTTGAGCTACAAGACCCTCTACCAACCATGTATATCCAGTTACTGAGTCTCTCTCTCTGAAAATCTTATCTCTAAAGGCATCATCCCAAATCAATGCACAAGCATACTAATACCTTTTTACAAATACTATATTATTTTGACTGAATTTACAAACAGAGGATGTATTCAAGAAATAATCAGGTTTTCTGGGGTTGAGCAGAGAGCAGGTACCTCCAAAATGCTTAGGAAGTAGTATTATCTCCAGTAAAGTCAAGAGTAAAGAGGCTCAGAACACAACATCTGTGCCTCTACAATTGCAAGTGCCCCTAGTTCTAAATAAGTTCAATAAACTTAAAATAACTGTACATGCTAAAACAATTGCAATGGGGTTTGTGACATTCACCCTAATTAAAAATATATTTCATAGACTCCCATATTTCTAAATAACATTTAAAGGAGGGCCTCCCCGGTGGTGCAGCAGTTGAGCACTGGGTTGCGAAGCTGCCCGCAGCCTCTGCAGCGATGGTTCAATCCTCGGCTGCCCCTGGGCCACTGGAGGAGGGTCCCGCATGGCGTGCAGACCTCTCCTGCCGCCCGCTGCTCCCCTCAGCAGTGTACTTTGGTCCTTCTGCCTGCTCTGCTCACCGCTCTGATGAATTCTCTCACCCTCCCGCACTTCTGACTGTACCCAGTGCTTGTATAAATAATAAACAAATCTTTAAAAAAAAAAAACATTTAAAGGCATGTCAATGGTAAGACACTTACCTAGATTCTTTAGACATACAGATGTTTGATAGACTAATTTGACAACCTTCCCACTACCCACTGTATCATTAAAAACTCTCAAAAGTGGTATGTCACAGGCTAAGTTGAATACATTTGTGAGAGGATAAAATTTTGAGTGCATTAGGAAAGCTGCAAGGTCAGAATACTGATGGCACAAAATAATTTAGACTTAGCTTCATTTCTGGTAGTTGCCATGTTAGTTTTAGAATTATGCATCAGGACAATATTAACTACAAAATTAACTTTAGAAATTTGTTCAAAGATGCCAACTACCACTACAAGGTCTTATCACATAAAACACATTGACAGAGAAATAAGACTTTTTTGTCATTTCTTCCTACTATCAGAAGAGTGGACAATTATCACTTACTTGGCAAAAGTGGCATAAATTAGGGTCTCCCTGGTGGCGCAAGGGGTTAAGACACAACTCATGAAGCTATCCACAGCCATTGCAGCACGAGTTCAATCCCTGGCCAGGGAGCTACCCACATGCACAGCAGACCTCTCCTGACTTGTCCACTGCTCCCCTCAGCAGTGTATTTCAATCTGCCTGTTCTCTTCCCCACTCTGTCTCTGGTAAATACTCTCACCCCCCATACCTCTGGCCTGTACCCCAGTTCTTGTATGCATAAGCATTTTAAAAAGTGGCATAAATCATACTGAAATTATGTCATTATAACTCTCAATGCCAATTCAGTAATGAAAAGGTAAGTAATGAAAAGGTAAGAATGAAAGGTTGAGGATTCCTCAAGACAGTAACTTACATCTCAGCATTATATACATTTGAATATTTTAGTTTTATTTTCCCATTTTTCCTAAAATAAGGCATTTAAATTTTATCAAATAGTGGCACAATACATATTAATTTTGCAACCTTATTTTGCAATAAAATACAAATTATTTTTCCTATTTGAACCATGAAATTACTCTTTGGTGCATTTCCTGAGAAAGCAGGACATACTGGCCTGAGCATTCTTTTTTAAGATTTATTTATTTTTGTGTCAAAGAACTGTAGTGTAGGCCAGAGGTGCAGGGGTTGAGAGGATTCACCAGAGTGGGGAGCAATTGCGGCAGCCTCTGCCGCTGAACGCCAGTGAACTTACTGGAAAGAGGGAGGCTTTCACTCAGACACATCCGAGTGAATAAGACCCCCTTCCCCTGTGTGCTGGACTGGACAGTCAATGACAGGTAAGATCGGGGGCAGACTAAAGAAGGCACTGGCTAGCCTCATGTCTGTGACTCCTGACGACCTAAGACAGGCGCAGTCCCCGAGGGGCTTCATGATAAACTTTGGCATTCAGATCAAACAAAACCTACATGCCTATAAGCCTAATTTAGGCAATAAACCCGCAGTAAAAAACCGCTCCTGTGCTGGAAAACAAGGCTGCTAAGAGCGTCACCTACAAACAAGCCTGATGGAATTACCTACAAAGCAGTTCAACCATTAACCAGATAGTCATTGTTTCTGAATAAGTAGCAACTTAGCAACCTGTCTATAATTATACTACTTTTTCACCTACTCTGCTTTTTCTTTATATGTGTGCAATCAGTTTCAGGAAATGCATGATAAAGAAAATAGTGTATGGCAATAGTAGTTCTAAAATAATCATAATACTTCTCACATAAACACCACCATAAAAATTAAAATGCTTACGTAGAGAATATATTGCTCGTGATCACTAAAAGTAAAAGGTGCCAGTAGGTAAATATTAATGCTTTTTGATCACTGTGGTTTTGGGAAACAAAACAAGAAAAACTAGCTTAAAGAATGCTGTTCTGTGTAAGCAAAAATAATTGTGTAGATTCAGTACCTTGAGATTGTTTGATGTGCCATGCCATGGAACATCGATCACATGAACACGAATAACGAAGTAGATGTCTTATGCGTTACTAAGCATTTTATGCTGACAAAGAATTAAATTGTATAAAATCATCCATTGTTAGAAAAGGTATAAAAGTGTATGATGATTTTGAGCAAATTACATTCAGATCTTCACTCTTGAAGTGTGTCTGTCTGTCATTCATTTCTGCGCCGAATCCTTGACCGCCTAGCTCAGTCTCTCATCCCTGGGTCAGCCTTGCTGCTCTGCCACTGTGCCGGTCGGCGACAAGCAATACAGGTAGATTTACTGATATACATTGCTAAGGGGAGCAGTGGGTGAGACAGGAGAGTTCTGCTGCGCCATATGTGGGTTAGCGCCCTGGCCAAGGATCAAACTCAGGCCTTACAATGCTTTAGGCCACCAGGGAAGCCTGCCATGAGAGCATTCTTCCGCACATCACCTAAGTGAAATTTTTTCACGTTTGGTTAAGTATAAATCCTTACTTAAATCAAGTAAACTTGGAGATTCCTAAAAGTCTGATCCCTGGTATCAGCTAAGGGAAATTTAGAAATCTCTAATTTAGCTAATATATCGACAGATGGTTACTCAACTGAACTTCTATTTTCTCCTTACTTGAGCACTATCAACAAACTACATGAGGCTTTCTTTGGTAATGATGTAAGGAAGTAATGATGCAAATGGGTAGGTGAGTTTTCTTTAGGAAATATCTTACACATAAAATCCAATGACATACTGAATCCAGAATAATAAACAAATTCAAAAATTGAGATAATTACAGAAAACTAACAGGAGAGGTCATTGAGAATAGTTAGATATAGGTTTATCCCACTAGCTGAAAGTAGGACATGGCTATTTTTGTTAAAATTTAGCAGGTTACTTTCTGGTTCTGGGAACACTCAAATTTTTCTTCCATATAAATAAGTGGTAAGTGTTCCCAGACCCCAAAAATTCCTTCAGATAGTAGGAGAAATCTGTAAGTGAAAATAAACTATATTCAGCAGATTTTTTTTCATTAATAACAATGTAAGCATCCCAAATAAATACGCTAAAAAACCAAAAACTCGAGTTAAATGTGCCAAGGGAATCAAGGAGTCTGGCCAGCCTTCAGACATTCTAGTTCATTTGATAGAACTGCTCTTCCCTTGGGTCTAATGACAGCTTAACTTCTCTTGGCAGGAGTGAAAAGGGCTTAGTAGTGGCAATTCCAAATATGAACATAAATGAAAAGTAGAAAGCAGTAGGTATAATAAGCAAGATCTGGACACTAAATTATCTGCTCAGATAACCTAAAATAATGGTGATCTGTTATTCATAAACTAAACTTTCAGCCTAGTAGATTTGACTTTGAAGTGACAAATTTTTCTTTTAGATTGTCTGATAAAGAAAGGCTATTTAGGAAGATGTATACTTTTGACTGTAATATTAAATGTGATCAAGCTTGGTTTCATTTACAAAAGAAAAAAAGAAACCTACAATGAAAGTTTCAAATGTACTTTATTTCCTTAGTAATGCCATATTTTAATGGATACAGTGTTTTTACTTGGCATCAATTATAAGTTGATTTTGAAACAATTCAGTGTTACACCGGCTGGGATGATTACTGATCTCTCCATTCCTTTGGGGTGACTCTGCCAACAGGGGACAGGTTCCATTCTACTCCAATTTGTGTTGCTGTCTGTAAGAATTAAAATGCTGTCAGTTATGTATGTTTAATCATCCAGAATCCACTCTCCCTTGGAGCATACTTCTTGAAAGTGACAAAGGTATTCTGCTCTATGGGTTAAAAACACAGAAACTCACCTGGGATATAGTACCCTCCATGTAGCCCAAACCTAATTACAGTCTTATTTCTCTAGAGCAGTGCTGAGATAAAGAAAATGTTCTGTATTTGTAGTGTTCAATATAGTTGCCACTAGTCGCAAACCACTAGTCACGTATGGCTATTGAGCACTTGAAATGTGGCAGTAAGACTGAGGAAATTAATTTTTAATTATAGTTAACATTTATTATGTCCTCAAAACACTGCTTTGCTCAACCACAACTACTTAAATATTGCCAATGACCACTTTCATGATATCCCTGCATCATTAAAAAACACTTCATTTTGGGCCTCCCCGGTGGCGCAGCGGTTGAGCGCTGGGTTGCGAAGCTGCCCGCGGCCTCTGCGGCCTCTGCGGCGCCGGTTCGCGATCCCGGCTGCTCCCGGCCACCAGAGGAGGGTCCCACATGGTGTGCAGACCCCTCCTGCCGCCCGCTGCTCCCCTCAGCGGTGTACCCCGGTCCTTCTGCCTGCTCTGCTCCCCGCTCTGGCTCTGGTGAATTCTCTCACCCTCCCCTGCGCCTCTGACTGTACCCAGTGCATGTATAAACAAAACAAACAAACAAATAAGTAAATAAATAAACATGCCTCTCTAAAAAAAAAAAAAAAAACACTTCATTTACCTCTAAATGGGTCCATGATCAAACATTAGTTCAACATCTGTTTAATCTTCCAGTTAAGTACACACATTTATTTTAATAATATATCTGATTTCAAAAAGACCAAAACAAAAATTTAAAAGGCCTATTAATAAAGTGTGCTTGTTTTGAGCACAATGTATACATGTATACATGTATACATTGTATACATCTCAATGTATACATCTGTAATAACTCCAAACTCTACTTTCAACTATCAAGTGCACTGAATGGTAATTGTTAAATATAAAAAAAACTAAAAAATTGAAAGCAAGTCACTTTACATCTCATCCATCAGAAAAGTCTTCAAACTAGAAAATTATAATGTGTGAAAAAAATTTGAGTACATGGGCTAAGTGAGAATGAAAAACATTTAAAATAGAAATTATCAATTAATAGTACTTACATATGTCCACACAGCAACACAAAAAGCAGTTCCACTAGCTAATACTGCATTACCATATTTGTCATGGAAATCAGGTGTCCGTTTCTGGTGGCTCTGTCTTGCCATCATTTGCTGAATGTTTCGACTTAAAAAAAAAAAAAATGAATACAGAAGGATAACTATTATCAGAAAAGAGAACATATGTAATTGATATGGCCAATAAGGAAAGGAAGGAAGTTAACTTTGTGGCATAATGCAGTTTGATACAATTTTTAAGGAAGTTAACTTTGTGATATTATGCAGTTTGATACAATTTTAAATACAGTGTAACTAAAAGCAAAGTATAATCAGTACATTTGCTACAAATTGATATTTATGTATCCTCTAAAACTACTTTGAATACTTATGAGTTCAACTTTCACTCAACTTTACTTAGTGCTCAACAACTTAACAACATAAAAGAGCAAATTAACTCAAAATGAACTTCAAGTTATAGAAAATGTTTAAGACCCTTAAATTACCAAAATCAGAAACTAAACTTGCTATTTTTTTTACCATGCTAAAAAAAAAAAAATTGGGGTATATGAAAAAGAGTAAGACAGAGACTGTCCTCAGGTAAAGCCCATTCTAGAGGAAAATATTAGACATGTAAACACACAAACCGTTATAATACAAGGAAGCAGGACCTCAAGTGACCAGTTTGAATATCAGGTAGGATTTGGTTATATAGATGTAAGAGGAATCGGAAAAAGGGAGTGACAGACAAGCCTAATGTACTGGAAAATCATTTATGTTTGGCTGAAGGATAGGTATATAGACAATTAATAGGATAAAACTGGAAAGGATGATGAGGCCCACTTTTTTTGGTAGGGAGGTGTTGCTGGTAAGTTGCATTCAAACTTGTTTTTACTATTATTTTAGTAA